CTGCTGTCTTAATTGCTGTATCAGTAGGCTTAATCGCAAAGATGCCTCCTGATAGCAAAGTGACTGTGGGCTTTCATACCGCGCTCGGAGATTGTGAGAGATTTTTGAAGTCAGAAAACTGAGCACAGAACTGTGCACCCTTGCAAATCAGACGGTTCTTCCCATTCCTGGAAACGCAAGGGCACGGTGAGATTGTGAAACGAAAATCAATTCTTTTTGCTGCAAGTACTCGAAGGTCGCTGTAACTGTATTAACTTCAGGGACTTCATTAAAGGATTCATTTTTTTTAATTATGAAGAACAGTATGGGTGAAAAAGTCCATTTTATGGAAACCCCACCCTGGTAACAGAAAATGATGTTTGATTAATACTCCTATTTCTCAGAGGTGCTTAATACAGCATACAAATGCGAAGATTGATTAAGTAAAAAATCTCAGAACTACTAAGACTGCTGCAGCCTTCAAAATGTGTAAGCGCAGCACACTCGCTGTAGGGTAGGGGTGAGGGGAAGCTTCCTAATTAATGACTGAAGTGGTGAAGGGTTATAGCTAACAACCGATCCACCTGCCGGCAGAAGAGCCGTCGTGTCTTACAGCGGTCTGGGTGACACGGACGCGATAATTCTGACCTATGCGTCTGCATCCCCACAACCCAGCTCCTGCCAATCTCTTCAGTGGTATCTGCGCGCCCGGCGAGGCTGCAGTCTGCGTTCTGGGAGGTGCCCAGGACCCGGCTGGGCAAAGCCTGGCACTGCCTGCGGGGAGCACGTCCTACCCAAGCTCCCATCCTCCGGCACCGGCCCGATTTCCCTGCATGCAGAGGGAGGCTTGCGATGCTGTCAAAGGTACCGAGCCGTGGTTTATTGCCAGCTCCAAAGCGAGCCGAACAGCTGCCTACTAAAGCGGTAAGAACCGTGTCCTGGTTGCATCCCGAGGAAACGGGAATTATTTCAGTTGTGGCCTTAACGGCGCTGTCTGCACTCTGCTAAGCTGTAACTCTTCAGAAGCACGCTTCCGTAGCTGAAATAATTGGAGATTGTAAAAGTAAATACGTTTCTAGTCACTGTTGCACTGCTTGTGAAAACCGGGGTGCTTTCATTCACGCTGCTTAATTAGAGTTGCCTCTCGCGCTGCTGCACTGGAGGAGGTGTCGGCGTTTCCAACACGACCTACCACGAGTGGAGGGTAAAGGCGGTCAGGTAAAACGTAGTCAGGCGTTCTTAGAGCACAGGGATTTTACAAGCCTTTGAAGAACAGTCAGAAGTATATTTGGTCTAGAAAAATTCATAAACAAATTTAAAGGTGCTGGATAGGTTGCGTTGCCTCGCTTGTAACCTGTGGTGTGTCAGTCACTGTCACTGCAGTGACAGAGCTTGTGTGTTACAAACGAAAGCAAACTTTTTCATTTCCTTACTGAAGAGGGAACTCTCCTTTTAAAGTGAAAGACTAGCTAAATTATGTACCTGTTACAAATGAAAACTGGATCAAGACGAATGTTGCTTGAGATGCAGAGGCAGGTGCTCAAACTTCAAAATTAACTTTGTGGAAACTGAATTTTTCATCCCTTCAGTGCATTTTTGCATCAAGGCTGCTGGCTGGCAGGAGGGATGGTACCTTTGCAAATGCACAAGAACATCCCTGCAGGAGAGAGCGCTGCTCAGTTCTCGGTCTCACAGCCTTCGCTAGCCGACCTTACCATATTGTTTACACCTCAGTACCTCTGAGTTGGCCTTCGGTTCTCCTGCAGTCATTGCTCTTTGTTTTAAATTACTGCTGGAAATACTTCCCCAGCCCCCAGAGCCACGCAGCTTTTGAGGTTGCAGTTAAAAAGATCCTGACCGCAGTCCCGAGTTCCTTGTAGCACACGCGGTGTGCTTCCTCATGCTCCCGTTTTCTTGAAGTGGTTGATTATTGTCAAGTATGTTAAAAGTTGGTAACTTTGCTTAAGAAAGAGATGAACAAAATTGTTAGTAGCCTAAATAGGTACAGAATACGTATGAGCCTTAAGGCGCCAAACCCAAGTATGACATGACAGGGGGTTCTAGGTGTTTTCTTTCAAATTGCTGTGTAAAGTTAACCTTTCTCCTCTGCCGTGAGACTCCTCATGTGCTGTGGTGCGACAATACCTGGGATCTCAGCCTGGTGTTCCCCCACGGGACGGCTAACTCATTGATTGTATAGAACAGGTTATGCTCTCTTCATTAATGTTATTACTTCCACTTCCCCTTTTGGCCACATACTCACCAGACAGCCGTATGTACTCGCCACTACTAAAAGCTTCCTAAGAAGGTACAATCAATAGTTTCCGCCATCCCTGTCTCGCTGTATTCAGGGGCTTCACGCGAGTGTGATGGGGCAGGACTGAGCTTGCGTTGCAGAGAAGGGAAGCCGTCCGTGGCGGTTGGCAGCCTGACGGAGACGACCCCAGCCCCTAACCTCCTCCCTCACGCTCAGCGATGTGAAACTACTGGTGGTCACCTTCGGGAAAAGGCAGGACCTTCCTCAGGTCATCATCGAGGTTGTGGTGGGGCGCAAGGCCTTAGTTCGCTGAGGTGCGGGTGTTTGATGATGCGGGCAGGGAGGAGGTAGCGGCAATTATACCAAGAGACATTTTCCTTCGCTTCGTTTGGTTTTGTGTTACGTTTGGAATATTCTTGGCACACAGGACATGCAGCAACAACCTCCTCCTAATGGGTAAAGTAAACCTTTGAATGTCAGCTTTTTTTTTTTTCCTTCGCTTGAAAACCAAATTGTGTCGATGCTACTTAGTTAGCATGCATCTCTTTAATTAATTAGCATTGCTTCGTGACATGCCAGATCGTCGGGAATGAACTAAGCAACAGCAAACGGACTTGTGTAGCGCTCAGTAGCGGAAAGTCGTGTTTGAGGGATCTGGCACTTCTCTGTGTTGTTCATAAATTGCTTATATGTTTGCAAGAACAGCTGTGAAAGTCCTAAAAATAAGTAATAAGGTATGGTGCTGCAGGACGGTAGTCTGTTGCTGCCTGTATTTTTTTTTTTTATTGCCTTTTCTGCCTTCCAGAAGGCCACTTTTATTTACTCTACTTTTTAACAGGGGTTTTACTGCAGAGTGCAACTCTACACCTTAAGAATTGAAACGACAAACTTGTGTTTGATAAAGTACACAAGCAGAAGTTGTTTAAAAGTCCTTTGCAAGGACATAAAGCACCAAAATTAAGCTGTGCAGAACTCTTTGAGTTTTTAGAGAGCAGCGGCTCTGAAGTTTGTCTTCAGTCACCCAGCACAGTAATTCCACAACCGCAATGGAAATGGAGAGGCTGACTGAGACCTGGACGCGCTTCATTCCCGGGTGCCTCAGAAGCTGCTCTGCCTCTTGACTGACTTGTGTTGTGGTTTTCTTAAAGGGTGCAACCGACTGCAAGGCTTTAGGAGAGGCATTTACATCACAGCAACCAAAAAATCTAGTTTTGAAACAACATTCTCTTGCTACTAAAGGTCATGAACAAGTACTGCTCGATTGCGTCAAAGTACTGTGTAAAAAGAATGCAGCGAAAGCCTGCACGCGTGTTGGCCGAGCCATGGGATTGCTCTGCCGTGTTTTTATCATTAAACCAGAAGTAATTCCCCGAGCAGTGATGCTCGAAGGGGTCTTCTGGTCTCCACAGTTCTCTCACTCTAGTGGCGTGTTGGTTTACAGCAAAGATAAGCTTCAGTTTGTGATTTTTGTGTGGAGAAAATAGCACAAAGCAAGGGACAAAACAAAATGCTCAAAAGCCAGAAGTGAAGGTTCATGCTTGTAGCGTGATTAAGTTTCCCACAACAGGTAGACCAAAACGAAGCTCTGTAAGTGCCAAACGAGAACACCACAACTTGAGATGAGGTAGAAGTCGTCAACTAAATTTATTGGTGCTTTGAAGACGCACGGTATTTTCTTCCACACACCACAAAGCTCATGGTGCCTGTATGCCAGGTAGTGCTTCAGCTGGCATTCCCGGTACAGCCGGACCCCCCCGTGGTTAGGATTACAAAATGGCTGGCAGTTGCCTGCTGGGAGATCCACGCTGCGGTTTCACCTGTGCCGTCCTTTGCCATGCCCAGAGGAAGCCGAAGGAGGGCCACCGCGCAGCCAGAGGTGCAGGTCTGTTCTGCCTGTGGAGGTGGTCCGGCGCTAACAGATAACTCGGTGCTTGTGCTGTTACAGAGCAAAGCTTCCTTCGCCGTCACTGAAGAGCTAATTAGAAATGTTTATCTGAAATTCTCAGCGTTATGCGTAATCCCCTGAGAGAAAGCAAAAGTATGCTGTTAGCCACCACTACAAAAATAGAGAACTCGGGCTTTGGTTGGGTTTGGGTTTGTTTCAAAAAGAAATACTTCCTTAAATAGTGCTTCTATAGTTTAATGAGTAGTAAGCGGGGAAAAAAGCTTGGGGGGTGCGTATTAAAAAATGCATTTATATGTATATAACTAGAAATGCTTTACCAGATGAATGATTTCATATGGATGGCGATGCTGTAAAACCTGAAGTGCTACAGTTGCGATAGGGCATTCATGTTGTTGAGCTAAAAACGTCAGCTGCCGGGGCAGTTTGTAGGCCGCGGCCCCTGGAGAGTGCCCTGAAGTTAACCCAGTGATCTGATTTAACAAGTGCGTACCCGGCTGAAACGCAGCGATACAGCAGGTTGTGGCTGACCTTTTCCCTCTGGGCCGGCGCCTTTCTGTTCATAGACATTAGTGAGCACCTGTAGTTTTCGTAGTGGCATGAGAAGTGTTGGTGACATGAAAAGCGCAGTTATGCTGAAAAATCCAATCTGTGGTATCTCGGTTTTTCCTAGTTAGCTGATTTTTGATGAGTTTAGTAGCGCTTTGGGATGTGAGTTCTTTTGTTTGCTTGTTAACCCCTGCAACCAGACCGCCGAGTCAGAGTGAATTTCTTGGTAATAACCCCTTGCCGCTAAGCTGTCGTTTGCATGCGAAATTCTCTGTGGTTTTTTCCTAAAAAGTGTTTCTTTCTGTATTTCAGCTTGTTAGCGACTTATTGGAATTCTGCTTCTACACCTTCCGAGAGTCTCAGGCACTGAAAGTAGAGTTTCCAGCCATGCTGGTGGAAATCATCAGTGACCAGCTACCAAAGGTGGAATCTGGGAATGCCAAGCCCCTGTACTTTCACAGGAAGTGATAGAAAATGTCTTAAATGGAAGAACTTTGCCTTAAGTTTCCCTGTGTTATTCCACACCCATGAAGGACCCAAGAAACCATATTTTAAACATGCTCTTTACACTTGTTCAGCAGTCTCTGAATAGTCTAAAATCATATGAAGGGTTTGGGGAATGGAAAGCAGTTGACTTGGATTTGGCAAGACCTAGATGTTTGGAAATTACCCCGTAACCCTCAAACGCTTAGAAAATGTTCCTGTTCCTCTGGATGAAAAGCCATATCTAGTCAATAACTCTTTTGATTTTGATATTTTAACAGATGGAGTTTTAAATATGCCATGTAGTTTCTGGTATTGTTTGCTTGTTTTAAAAGGGTTCGAGAACTAATGAGAACTTTTTAAAGCTTACCCTTGGTTTGCACATAAAAACGTAAAGTCAATATGGGGCATTAATATTCTTTTCTTGTAAAAAAAACAAAAAACAAAAAAACAAACAAAACCTATATATATACACACATATATACACACACACACACAAACCCTAGCGTGTAAAGTAATAACAGAACATTTGGTGTGGAATACTCTGTTATCCCCACCTGTGGCATTTGTTATCCCATGTTATCCCACCATAGATGCTCTACACTGTGTTAAGTGTCCATTTACTATTTAATTACAAAGGATAAGATGTGAAAACAAATGCCCTGGTTATCAATTTATAGTATCTATTGTGCTGGCTTTACAAATAATTTTTTGCAGTCTTTTGCTGTACTGTACATTGCTGTATGTATAAATTGTGAAGGACCTGAAATAAGGTGTAAGGAACTTTTGTAAATGAGACAAAAAAAAAATCTTTAATGGTTAATAGGATGAATGGGAAAGTATTTTTGAAAGAACTCTATTTTGCTGGAGACTATTTAAGTACTATCTTTGTCTAAACAAACAAGGTAATTTTTTTGTAAAAAGTGAAATGTTCTGCATGCATAATGAACCGTTTACAGTGTATTTAAGAAAGGGAAAGCTGTGCCTTTTTTAGCATCATATCTAATTTACCATCCTCCAGTATCTGTTGTAAATAACCACACTTAACCTTTTCGGTTGTATTTAAGCCTTTCTATTTTCCTCTATATTCTTCTCCCTTTTGTCTCGCTTGCAAGCGTATGTGACTTGAGCACATCTTAGAAATCCCGCTTCACAGTTCTATAGGAAACAACACTATGTTGTGTTTGCCACTTTACCAAGGTTTCATTTAACAAGACAAATTACGGTCTCTCCAGAGCTTTTGCCAGCTTAACGATACAGTGAGTTCTTGCCCTCTACTCCCTTTCTCTCTCAGGGGAACAGGGGTGAATAAGATGTTGAAATTTTTTTATTTTTTTTTATTACGGTCTCCCAGATTGATTGTTTTTCCTTTGAATACTGGATACATAAAACATCTTAAAAGGTCACATTATTATTTCAGATGGGGGAGAGCAATTTCTGATTATGCTGAAGGGAACATGCAGATCATTACAGTAAGTATATCGGACGGATTTGTACTGGTGAGAGGGATGGTAAGGTACTGGTAAGGGCAGATGAGCTGAGTAGAACTTCTAGTGATAAACTAAAACCGTATGTAATTTTGTAAGCGTTTTTGTAATAACCAGAACATGTCCGAGAAGACAAATGTTCACACTACAAGTTCAACTCAGTTGGTCTGATTTTGTCTCAAAAATGTTTTCTGTAGAATAAGACTGCAAAGAAAAAAAAAAATTTGAGGTGATTTTCACTATTTCACAATTTATAAGCAAATACAAAATTTTGGAGTAGAATAGAGGACAGGTGAACTTTTCTGAGGCTCAACTGTTGCTACCACCTGCTCATGTTTAAATAGAATAGTTTTTCAGAGTCCTACTCTGTAGCGTTCTCTCCGGGTGCCGCCGGTATCTTTGAGCTCTAGTTTGTCCCTTGGCCGGTCAGAATGTAGCATTTCTTTTCAATGGTGGTCGAATTAAGAATTCTACACCCTTTCTGAGTCCAAATTTTGAGGTGCGCTTTGGTGCACTGAAGACAGTCAGTGCTACTTGTCTTTTTAAATGACACCTGCCTTATGCAATGGGTAATCTGTAAAGACTGTATTCAGAGAGGTTTTTTTTATATATAAATATATACATACATATATTATTTGCATTTTGGAAGTCTAATTCATAGGCAGATCTTTAAATACTGACCTGCACAGCAATATGAAAGCCAAACTTCCAGCGTGAGATACACGGCATGCAGACTGGTTGTTTACAGTAAAGACACAGTCATACATCCATCTCGTCATTTACTACTACTTTTTTTTTTTTTTTTTTTTTTAAAGTCTAAAACAGAAAATTTCAAAGCCAGGTTCTGGGTGAATACAGTCTGCAGCAGCTTTTTATATTAACAAAGTTACTGCCTCCTTTTCTGTCTCAGAGTAACTTTGCTTGATTAAAATAGCAAAGCCATATTCTACACTTCACTGTTAAATGCCTGTCCCAGTCCAAATTGTTGTCTGTTTGCTCCTATTTTTGTACCTTATTACTTTTAATCTTGGTTTGGTACAATTCATAATTCACAGAAACTTCATATAATTAAACACACTAAATTAGTTTTAAAAAGCAATTTATATCTTTATGCAAAAACGTATGTCTGTCTTTGCAAACAACTGTAAGCAGATTATAATAAATCCTTTACTTTAATCACCTGTTGTTTATGAAACCATTCATTGATTATTATTTTTGCTAGAGATCATTGAAGTAATAGAGACAATTGGATATAGATGTTGTAAGAGGCAGTATTCTCTTATCAAGGACACTTACGCAGAATAGCCATCACTTTTTTTTTTAGATAAACCTGTGTACAGCAGAAAAAAAAAAATAAGAAAAAACCACACAAAACCAAACAACCCTAGTTTTTAGCTACTGGGCAGTTACGTTCTTTTGAATTTGTTTAGAATGGAATAGGCATTTGTCTCCTGCAAAATACAAGACAAACTCAAACACCTGTTAGAACTGGGCTTCTGTTCATTGAGCTAAATTATTCTGTTGTAAGAAGGAACGGGGATATACAGCAAGAGCATTGTATACACAGTTAAAAATGTAAAATAGCGTTAATGTACTGCAGTGGGTATTTCAGGAATACTACACGTGGTGCGACGGAACAGTTGCACAAAATAAAAGACTAAAGTTTGCAATATCAAAATCTTATTAAAAAGATACTTTACAATCAATAATGCAAAAAGCTAATTCACAGGGTGGTGTTTTTCACTGACTTGTTTAAACATTTATGAAATTAAACAATTCTACAGTTAATGCACTTTTAATTGTTTATTAAAGATTTGACTTTTTCTTTTTTTAGAGCAATGTTTTCAGCTGGAGGTCAATGACTTGGTAAGATAGACAGCAGTTCTGAGGCCAGGAAGCTCAGAGGAATGTTTTAAGAATTCTTGGAGTTTAAATAGATTCCTGGATGAAAAATAAAAGCAGCCAGCAGTATGGTGTAAACAGTAAAATCTATGCATAACGATGCATTTATAATTAGGGGTTTGCTTCTGTATGTTTAAAGCTTTTTAAATAAATAGAAAATATTGTTTGGTCTTTATGTTAATGTCTGCAAGTACCTATTTTTCCTTTTTATTTTTTTTCCTTTTTTATACAAATTGTACAAATATACATGAATTAAACTGGTTCGATTGCAAGTATTTCTTGCATTTTAATCTCAGATAGGTGCTGGTGCAGTGATATCCTTAGAGACACAAGCTTCTGCTCATCTAGAAACAATATTAAGTAACGTAAAGTAACTAACAACGTAATCTAACATCTTTCTTCAGACATCTAGAAATTTGGGTTCCTCAAGCTCTGTTAATTTGGATGACACAGCACATATGATGGCTTCAGTCAGAGAGCAGCAGCTCACGGTGTAGAATGAAGGGATGCCCAACCGTGAGGAATTTGGTTCCCCTCACCTGGATAACCGCGCTTGCCCAACGCCGTGCCGACGCTGTTTGTTACGCGCGCAAGCTGCATCCCACTCACAGAACCAAACCAACCCAGCAACCTTCAACAGCCAGAGAAGTCTGGCTTCCAGTTTCTGTTAACCTAGAGCTGCTCTGCCTGGTGAGCAGAGTTAGAATTTCTCTCACAGAAATAGGGATTCACTATTTTCCATACCCAAGGTTTCCCCAGCGACTAAATTGGACTGCCCTCTCGGGGTCAGGTCTTTCCCAATTACAGTAAGATAGTTGGAAGGGGAAATAAAATTCTTGCTATCCTGCATTGTTCTGCGCATACTCTCTCTCAAAAAAAAATCACCACTAAGTTAAGTTCTGCACGAAGCCAGGCCTGTGGTGCAAGACAGACCACCATTTCATTGCATTTTGGGGTTTTTTTTAATAACAAGTTACACAAACTTTTTATTGCCAAAAATCCTTGCACCTGCCTTCTGTTTGCTGAATTGTCAGAAGGAAAGAATAGTAGAGGATCAGCAGTGTTAAGAAAAATTTCCCATATGTTTACAAGCAGATGTATCTGTCATATGCTGTTCTAGAAATAAGAAAACCGCTATCACTACTTAAAAGCATAAAACGAAACTTGTAATCTGAGCTCAAGCTGGGACACTGCTTGCTTTCAGGTACCTACAGAGACTGGGAGTTTATGATGAGTACAAAATGACTAAGAGAGAAAGGTGCGAAAAAAATGCCCTTTCATTTCCAAGAGTTTGCTCGGTAAAACACGCCATGCCATGAGGTCTTTAAAAGCCCACTGTAATTGTAGCTGTCGCTAGGATGAAGGTTATTTGGGGCTTACCTGTGGTCACTGCAAGCACGGACGAGGGCACACTGTTGAACGCTGATGTAGAGAACGACGTCCAAGGCACAATCAGCTTAAAAGGTGAAACTCCAGTGAAGACTTCCAGTTAAACCCCATTTGGCACTGGTGCATTTACAGCCTACCGCAGCCCTCTGTCAGCAACTTTTCTCTTTAATTTGCAAACCAGGTAAGAATTGTGAAATGGGTTAAGAGAAGGAGAACAAGGAACAGAGCATTGAGAAAGGCAAGTTTCTCCCCAAGTCTCTTCTGTGATACAATTACAGAGGCTCCGCTAGCAAAAGCTGTAAGCAACATAGCAGGAACACTTACTTGTGTTGGCAGATTAATCAGCCAGTGTGATTTTTTCTTTCACTCCTGATGAACAACTGGGCACCAGAAGGAAACCTGCCATGAAGATCAGCTAGGACAATGACTAACAACATTCAGCAGCCTGAAAAGCCCGGGGTTTTTCACCCAGCAGAGTGAGACTGCTGCCCGGCCAAGGCGCAGAGCTGCACGCTGTCTGGTGACTTAACACAGACTGTAAATTCCTACAGACCCCAGCTAGTCAGCGCTCTCAGCTTTTCCATTAATTACTCAGCAAACGCACATTCGACCTTAATCTCCAGGCTGAGGGATTCAAGCTCTGCCCCCA